TGGACTTCAACTCCCAGAATTCCACAGCCAGCAATGCTGGCTGTGGAATTCTGGGAGTTGAAGTCCACATGCCTTAAAATTGTCAAGGTTGAGAAACACTGAGCTATCACATAGCCAGCTTGATAGATTTCTAATTAAAGAAAATAAATATTGACTTGCAAGGTAAAATTTTAACTACACATTAAAAAAGATAGAGGTAAGGTTGGTTAACTTCTAGCTGCAAGGCCACATCCATTCGTCTTGCATCTTGATAACACGTTTAATAAAGGTTGGCCAGAGTTACATTACCGGAGCAAGAGACGATAGAGCAAAGTTCGCATGAGGCGCGCGGCGGCCTACCTCTAGTCTACGTTTTACGGCTACGCCCTTTTCTAAACTGCTCTTCTCCTTCGCAATCAACCCCTCCCCATCACTCCTTCCTATTCGACTATTCCATTCTCCTTTCAACCAGGGAGCGCCCTGACTGAAAAAAAATGATCTGAGCTGCAATTATAGGGCGCTGTCGCTTGTTGCTAGGTGACCAGACGCGAAAAGGCAGGGCGGAAGAAAGAGCGAAAAGGCTCCAGCAGACAAGGCCGCTGCACTGCGACAAAAACGAAAAGGAGGAGGCGCGCGTGCGTTAGCCTTCCTGATTTGCTATAGGCTCGTTGGGATCCCGGGAAGGCGAGATATAGCGAGGTGAGGCGCGTGGATTGGCTAGTTAGGGTATGAATGACTGAATATTTCTCTCCCCCTGAATCAGTCTCTCTCTCTCTCTCTCTCTCTCTCTCTCTCTCTCTTAATCAAAAAAGGGCGGTATTAAGAGACCGAGTGGTCTGTCAAAGGCTAAGGAGGCTGGGAGAGCAGGTGGATGGGCGAGAGCACGGGTGGGTGAGTGAGTTAGTAGGAGCTATAAAAATAGCAGAATTCCTCTGTCTCCCAGTTTAGTGTAAGTGACTCAGATGGAGCAGCAGTTTCCCCTAACTCATGATGTATCTGATTGCATGATATCTTCGATAGTGGTGTATCTAAAAAGGTTCATTTAAAAAAAAATACTGTGAGTCTCTTGATTTCCATTGTTTTTTAATAGTAAAATTCCTAAAGAGGTAGGAATGTTATGAAGCTATTGTTAGAATTCAGTAAATGAATTCCTATAGGGATTTTTAAATATACACCGTATGTATATATTACAGTTGGACGCATAGTCACCCAGATGTTTAGACAGGACTTGGCATTTTTATTCTGGGATCAATAGATGTTGTTTGATAGTGTTAGAGGTACCATCACAAGTATAGCTGCCCTTTGCAATTGACTGATGGTAATGTCAGTGCCAGTGTTTAAGACTGCTCAGGGTATTTTGGATTGAATCCAAAGCTCTTAACCGTATTACCATTCATACTAGCTTTGCTTTTTTATTATTTACAGTCCTGAGAGTTGAAAATTTAAAAAAATGAAAACGTTTTTGCAATATTTGTATTGCCTTAAATGTTTATGTGCACCTTGGAATAAAATATAATTCTTACCATAACAAAATGGGAGAAGTCTCAGGATTTGAGGAGAGAGGGCGACATATTTGTGCTTGTGTGTTTGATATCCTGAGAAGTGTGTAGATTAGAACATTCTCTCCACTTTGTGTGGATGAAGTGATAGCTGCTGCTCAGTGGGTTGGAGTGATTCAGGCTTTCTTGCACAAAAGGGAGTGGGGAGGATGAAGAGATGAAGGAAGACTCAGAGAATGAAAAAATATGCCGGCTGTTATAGCAAGGATGGATCAAGTTCAGTTTAGGATGCTGTATTCTCTAAACTTAGAATTAAACAGTGTGGCTTGCTTTCTGAAAATGTTTGATCAAGTTGACACTGAGGTTCTACCTCCACTCAAGTTATAATTTACTTCTCTCTTATGTAATATTGTTGTTTAGGTTTGGGCAACGCTTTCTCTATTTCTTAATTTACAGGAATTTACCTATTGGTTTTCAAGGAACACCCTTTTGAAGCATACTTCAGGTAATTGATACTATCTGTGTCCTTCTCCCTTCCTGATATTTCATTTTCTGCATCTGTTTATGCAATTGGGGATTAGGGCTGTCAGGAAATAAATGAAGGATTAGACCTTAAAGGCATTCTAGACATTGGAAAGATGCTTCTTCCAGCTAAATAGTCACTGCAGTTTATAAGAACTAAAGATAATCCAAGTAAACTAAATGGTGATGTAGAATGTGGGATACTTCATTTTTTTCAGCTTTTGTTCTGGGAAAGCCCATTTGTTTCACTTATATAGTCCTTTCCGCAATTCCATTTAGCATCACTAACCTAACTTAAAAAAAATACAGGACTATAAGGTTTAATTTTTCATCATTTCCAAGTTCAAATAAAGCTTAAATTGTTTGACAGAGACTGTATTTCTTCATAAAAGTACAGGACAAAAATTAGATTGAGAGCAATTCCTGCCCTTAAAATGCACATAGAAAAGAAAACCTGTTCTCTAATTAATTATGTGGCAGATGATCTCAAGTTTCTTAGTTTCTTAGTTTTAGATATATAATATTCTGGGTGGGCAGTTTGTACTAGAGATGTTTGCTGTGGCAATAGTGACAATATTCTGTACTATTAGCTTTTTTATTTTTGGTCCCCTTTGTAAGGGTTCTCTGCTCTCCAAGGATACACCATAGTGTAGCAAATCTTACAGTTGCCTTTCCCAACAATAGACTATTGCTCTGAGTCAACTACACCTTTCTAGGACTTTGCAATGTGATTTGTCCTTAAAGATGCCTTTAACACTCAGTCCTTTAATATTATTATAATATTCTTTAAATCTCGTTTCATAAAGACTCAGTCTTTAAAGTGATATATAACCTATGTCTTTTATCAAAAGTTTGTGCACTCATTGGAATGAAGTGTTCTTTCAGTGTGGTCGCTCCTTTTCTAGTTACTGCCAAGCTCCAGGCAAACTCTTTAGTTCCAGCTGGACTCTCATCTGGATATGTGATGGTTGATTGTGATCGTGGTAATTGAATGATAGTCCTCTTGCTTGCTCGTAATAGCTGTCCATCTTCAGACCCCTTTTGCTTATCACCTTTCCTACTATATGCCCTCACACATACACTCAGTCTTAGCATTTGTGTTTCTGTTCTGAGAAGGTGGATGGGCTGCTTCTGTACTTCCTCACATCCTTGAAAATGCTAGGGTGTGGCTCAGTTATAGGCAGCTGCAACACTGGCTTCTATGCCTTTGAGTAAATGTATGAATGAATATCTGAATGCATGGAGGAACTGAGGGGGAAAAGCTTGTTTCTATGACTGCAACTAGTTCTAAAAAGAGCAGGCAGCAATCCCAACTTCATTCCTTCACATTCCTTGTTTAGTTTAAACAGTTTGTTAATTGTTTTGTTCTGCACTAGTCTTTAAATAAAGTTTGACTGACTGCCAATTGCTTATCCCCAGTTTTTTTCAGGTAAATATTAACACTAGGACATTTCCTATATGTGGCTGACTTTTCTCCAGTGCTATCAGAAAACTGAAAGCACAAAACATTTCCAATGTTTAGATTTTATTAATGTCTTTTATTGTCAGTGTTCTCTTTCTGAGTAATTTTTTAAAACTTGCATGCTAATGGAGAACCTATTTTAGTAATATAGAAATGGTATATGATTTCAAATGTGTACTACTGAAAATCATGGACTGGGTAGTAAACTCTTTGAAAACATTGAGTCTTAAGACTTAAGATTTGATTCCAGAAGAGTAGCTGTTAAGCCTACTCTAAAAATAAAATAGCTTTTATTTTAATAAAAAACATTCTATCAATACATTTTTTATTTCTATTTTAGAGTGGTTGTTATTTTTGTGATGTCTTATGACTGAAACTTATTTTATTAAAAAATAGAATAATGCAAGTTAATTCTGTCTGAGTAGTGAGATTTCAGATTTGAGATGAGTATTCTTGCAAGAAGAGAATTGTTCAAAATCATCCATTTATTGCTGCTTTTTTTCTTAACATGATAAGTGATGTATATCACTTTAATTAAAATTTTTATACTTTTGGAGGAAATTGTTTTGAAGTCTAATGTTACCTGACTTACTTCTACAGTAATTCAATTATTTGATATACTGTTGCCATAGTAATATCAGATTTTATATATTTTACTTTTTTATGTTCATACTGTAGCCTTTCCCCTGTACAACTAGTGAACATATCAGCCTGATGTGGCAGGATTGGGGGAGGTGGATCAGAATAGGAAAAAATAATGTGATGGGACAATCCTCAGCACTCCAAGATGGTACTGATGATTCTGTGCTCCCATGTTGGCAACAATACAATAAATAGTTAATTAGTTTTGGGCGCATATTTATCCGAAGAAAGCTTCTCTTTCCTTATAGATTACATAACAGCTATTATATAATTAGGCAAACCAAAATTCTTTAAACTGTATGAGAATTTTTAAATTTTCATGTCTTTTTCCAGTGCCAAAAAAAATGAACCGTGGATATATAGAAAATAATAATGTCCCACACGACAATAATCAAATGGTTTTGGATATGATTCTTTGTTCTTTACTTGGAGTTCCTCAGCCTGTCAACTGGGAAAATGTGGCAAGATTGGTTCCAGGGTATTCATCCAAAGAGGTAGGCTTCTTTTTCTTCTCCTAACTTTAGCAGAAAAAATATTTTTAAGGAAGTTCAAGTTGGAAATGTTGCTTACTAGTCTCTATGCATATCACAGGTCTGTTATAAATTCAGTGCTTGAACTTAAATTCTCCAATACAAGCAATATTTTAACAACTGCTTCTGGAACTTCAGTTTCAGACAAGAGAGGAAAAATATTTACTTTTTGCAGTTCAGTGTATGTTTAATATCAAGAGCTGCTTTTTGTAAGATGGGTGGCTATACAAATTTTATTAATATTGTACATCTTTTTCAGCTCATAGAAGTATACAGTGATTTACATTAGAAACAAAGATAGCAGATTAAATCAAAACTACAGTGAAGCTGAACTTCTATGCACAAGCCTCTTGTCACCTTAATAGTGTCTTCATTCAAATACAGGTAGTTCTTGTCTTACAATAGTTCATTTAGTGACCATTCAAAGTTACAGTGGCACTGAAAAAAGTGACTTATTACCGTTTTTCACAGTTATGACCTTTGCAGCACCCCCATAGTCATGTGATCAAAATTAAAATACTTGGCAACTGGCTCTTATTTATGACTGTTGCTGTGTCCCAAGGTCATGTGATCACCTTTTGTGACCTTCTGACAAGCAAAGTAATGGGGAAACTAGATTTATTTAACAAGGTTACTAACTTATCAACTGCAATGATTCACTTAACAACGGTGGCAAGGAAGGTCATAAAATGAGTCATAAAACTCACAACAAATGTCTCACTTAACAACAGAAATTTTGGGTTCCATTGTGGTCGTAAGCTGAGGACTACTTGTACAAATAAATATAAATATATAAACGTAAAACTAAGATTGGAGCAGAATGACTAAGGGTAAGGAAAATCAGTGGAAGCAGGAACAACGTCTGATTTCCTCTTGACATCCCCATTGAGTTTTCTTGTAGGAATCTGGCAGGGAACATTAAAAATCTCCCTCTCTCCCTCCCTCCCTCCCTCCCTCCTTCCTTCCTTCCTTCCTTCCTTCCCCCCACCATCAGGGCAGGTAAGTGTGTATTGCTGGGTGGGAAGAGAGAACAAGGGATTGTGAGACTGGCTGGGAAACTTTCACAGAATGTTGAAAAAAAAGATCACATGACTATAGCAGCAGTCAGCAACACAGAGCAGCCAGTAGCACTAAAGCAGCCACAATAGGATCTTGGAGTCCTGGTGGACAATCACTTAAATATGAACCATCAGTGTGCTGCAGCTGCCAAAAAACCCAACACAGCTTTTTTGGAAGCTGCTAGGCTGCATTAACACAGGGATAGAATCAAGATCACGTGAAGTGTTAATACCACTTTACAATGCCTTGGTAAGGCCACACTTGGAATACTGCATCCAGTTTTGATTACCACGATGTAAAAAAAATGTTGAGATTCTAGAAAGAATACAGAGAAGAGCAACAAAGATGATCAGAGGACTGGAGGCTAAAATATATAAAGAACGGTTGTTGGAATTGGGTATGTCTAGTTTAATGAAGAGAAGGACTAGGTATGACATGATAGCAGTGTTCCAATATCTCAGGGGTTGCTCCAAAGAAGAGGGAGTCAAGCTATTCTTCAAAGCACCTGAAGGCAGGACAAGAAGCAATGGATGGAAATTAATCAAGAAGAGAACCAACCTAGAACTAAGGAGAAATTTCCTGACAGTTTGAACAATTAATCAGTGGAACAACCTGCCTCAACCTGCTTGAGCAGGAGGTTGACCAGAAGACCTCCAAGGTCCCTTCCAACTCTATTATCATTATTATTATTATTATTTCCCCAAATTTCATTCCCCTGGGGTTATAGGTCCTAGATTTTGGACACATTCTGTGAGTTAGCCAATTTGAGATAGCTTAATTCAAAAACTGTGGTCCTATGATGCCCTGTTTCACCTAGTTAAATATCTTGAAATGAGAGTTTTAAAACTATATACTGTAGATGTACTCACATACATGCACACGTGCACACCAATACATCTATATGCACATATATGACCCACCTTCCCTTGGACATAAATGCTGTGAAAAACTAAATGATATGTAGAGGTTTATCTTTCTGTTTCTCATATCAGGTATTGCTGTTCAATTTTACTGTGCTAAGGAAAAAACTTGCGGTAGGACCCATTTTTCCTTGCTATCCTATTCCTATAATTTGGTTGAGCTCAAAATCATGTTATGCTATAATGTGTCTTGTTTATTGGTGGTTTAACCTGACATATATCTAGCTGTTGTGATTTTTAAAACATAGTTTATGGCTTAATGTTAGGATGAGCTCAACCAATATGTCTAATAAACAAATCATGGCTTAATACTATGTCCAGTATTAGCCCAGTCCATAACTCAACCCAAATTCTCAAATGTAGGGAAATAAATAAATATGTAACAGGAGAAAGGAGGAGTGACTGATTATTAAAATATACAGTATCTAGAATTACAAAGAGAAGCACAAGATTCAAATCATTCTTCAAAATTTGGGCCAGATACCATTTAGTACTGATATCATTTATATTATGTTGTAGCTTCTCAATACTATATAAGATTATTGCAGTTGCAATTATTTTTAATTAAATTGAAGAGCCATCTCACTGCCAGTGACTTTGACTGAAATAAAGGGACCAATGAGTACCTTGCAATACTGGAGATAAAGCCTGTATATTCAAATTTGAGGTATTCATTGGCTGTGTCGATTCAATCTAATTGTCCATCCTGATCATTCTACAGCAGGGGTGTCAAACTGCCAGCCCACAGGCCAGTTGCATCATGCAGAGGCCATGCCCACCCCAGCTCCGGCAATGCAAAAAAAGTCACGATACGTTGCGACATGTCATGCGACATGACGAGTTTGACACACATGTTCTACAGTATCAACTTCCTTACAATAGATGGGTTGTATGTTTTTTGGAGTTATATTTTGTTGCTGTTTTTGATGTTTTGTTTTATTTGTAAGTTTTCAAGAGTCTGACTAGATTATGATATGATGGAAATGTTATGTATGTACAAGTAGTCTTTGACTTATGACCAATTCCTTACCAACCTTTCAAAGTTATGACAAACCTCACCAGAGCTATTTACAACCATTTTCAGAGTTACAATTACCATCATATGTTCCACAGTCATGTGATCACATTTTGGACACTTGGTGATTGGTCCACCTTTTCAGATATTTGCAAGGGGGGGTCATGTGACCATAATTTGTGATACTTTTTCTAGTTTCCAGCACTTCCAATTTACTGCAAAAAAAAAACCCATTGGAGAAAATAGATTTACTTAATGATCATGGCATTCACCTAATGACAACCACACAAATGTCATAAAATTCACATCACCTGATGCCTTGACTTACAACCATAACAACTTACAATTGTAATTGTAGGCTCAATTACGACCATATGTCGAGGACTACTTTTATGGATGTTCAAGCCTTTGGAAAAGTCAGGATGTTATGGCATGTTATCTGTTGTGGTAACTTGCCCTGAAGTTAACTTGCCCTGAATGTATATTTTCAGATTTTATACTTTGAATTGTTGGCAAAGTGATGTTCTAGAATAATGTTTCATGTTAGTTTTGCTGTCTTAGCATATTCTGTATACTAGTTATTGTCTTAATCACAGTTTATATATTTTCCTGATTTAACAAATTGCTACATCCTAATCATGGTAATTTCAGTCATAATAAACTATAATACAAAATTGCTTAAATGTAGCTTTTCAAATTTCCGTTATGGCTTATGTTGGGAGGAACTCCCCCGTCCAGGCTCTTCCAGCCGGGATTCTTCTTAACAGCGCAGAGGAGGACAAATAGAACATGAAACCAGCTACTGGAAAGAGAGGTTTAATTACAGAGATTAAAGTTGAGTGACAATTCAGCATGAATCCCCGGCTAGCTAGACAGAATGGTCTTCAGACATGAGTTCTTATACCCTTTCGTGGTTTCCAAAATTGTCATTTCTGATTGGTGAGTTCAAATCTGTTTTCCCTGATTTGCTGGTCAGTGACTATTGTTGGGTAAATCTCCTTCTTAATCCTGCCTAAAAGGTGTTNTTGCTGGATCAGGTTAGCTCATGGTCTTGGGTTTTTTCCTGTGTTTGCCAAGTCATTCCCTCGTTGGGGTGGGGAGGGGGTGTCCAACTCTTATCACTTATGAATGGGGCCCTAGCTGAGAGATCAGTTGTATGCTACATAGGTCACTCACACATTTCCCTCAGAAGAATTTCTGTTTGTAGAATTGAGCAAAGCCTTTCCTCTGATGGGCAAAACCTCTTGCTCATCCCCTCATTTCCCCATCACTGCAGTTTTTTTTACCAAACTCTTTCCACAGTGTGTGTTTCCCCCCAGCATCTCTGAAAACTTTTTCTCCAAGAACCTGATCAGACCCGTATTTTGCCTACCTCTTGTATGGGTAATTTATTCCCTTCACTGAAGCCAGGACATGAAAGCAGCACTCCAGTCCTACCTGAGGTACCTACTCTCAGGCACTCAGCAGCTTTCTAAAGACAAAGCTCCAATTCCATCCAATCCAGCAATCAAGTTCTAGCCGCTCTTTGCAGCACCTCTGCAGTCCAGAGCCACACCCAGACTGATTTCTGACTACTGTTGATAGATCACATTTTTGGCTACTGCAGGGCCATAGCTTCAGCCTCATTGATTCCATAGTTCTCGCATCTTGCCATTACTGTTGGGTCTCACTCCACCCTAGGTAAGTTTCTTCCAGCACCTCTCTGTAAGTCCTCCAGGCAGCTGAAAGTCCCAGGGGTGTTCCAAGGGTCTGTAAGTACAATAGTACCACCCCTTGTCTTCCAGACAATGGTAATGAAAGCTGTGGACTTTCCATTCATTGGAACAACAAAAGCTGACAAAAACACCATACCAAACTCAAACCTCCTCTTCAGCTCACCAAATAAGATCCAAAAATGGTTATTGACCAGGATTAACAATGGGCACACTGTGACTTTCTGAATGCTGCTGACTGCAATTCCCAGAATCAGTAACCAGGGCGGGACAGGATTGCTACAGATGTAGTGCAGCAACATTTGGTGGGGGACAATTTCCCCACCTGAAATATACATGCCCTATGTTGCCATGAACAAAGGAAAAGACTAGGGATATGCTGAGTTTGTGATACTAATTGGGAAGGCATGAAAGGGAAATTGTTGTGATAATGGGAGAGTTCAGTTACATTTACATAAACTGGGTTCATTCATGTTCAAGCTAGAACAAAACCTCCAGGTTTCTGGATGCCTATATGGCTGTACCTTAGAAAAGATGGTCTTAGAACTGACCAGAAGGGAGATAACTCTAGATTTATTCTTAAGTAATGACCATGGTTTGATATTATGTGTATCCATTATGGAATTGGTTGTAAATATCAGCTAAGTGAGGCAGTTAAGTGAGTTGCACCTCATTTTATGACCTTTTTTGCCACAATTGTTAAGCAAATCACTGCAATTGTTAAGCGAAACATGTGATCATTAAGCAAATCTGCCTTCCCCCGTTGACTTTACTTGTGAGAAGCCAGCTGGAAAGATTACAAATGATGATCACATGACTGTCCTAAATACAGGCCAATTGCCAAGCAACCAAATTTTGATCACATGGCCACGAGAAGGCTTCAACAGTCATAAATGTGAAAAACAATCATAAGTCACTTTTTTCAGTGCTGTTGTAACTTCAAATGATTACTAAATGAATGGTTGTAAGTTGAGGATTACCTTTATATAAATGGGGATTTTGGAAAACGCAAAAAGTCATGTGGAAGGAGATGTCCCAGTCAGTATTTGATAGCCAACTTTCAAGAAGCTTTTGACAAAATTATGGAATACTTTTAAGTAAACTTAGTAGAAATAAAATATCAGATACTATCCTATTATGAATTTTAACTTGCTAAACAACAAAAAAGTAGTAGAGTAAAGTAAGAAATAAAGACTTTTAAGGATCTTTGTTATGATGGGAGCTTTTCAATTTATTCATAAATGATCTTAATTTAGGGGAAAATAGTAAGCTAGCCAAGTTTGCAGGTGATACAAAACAATCTATTCTGGGCGATTAAAAACAAAAGTGATTGTGAAGAACTCCAAAAGGAAGTCTTTAAAATGGACAAGCAAACGACAAATTTAATTCATGTAAGTATAAAGTGATTGTTAGGGCAACCTCTCAGTCCAGGTGCATAATATGTACACTGATGGAACCTAAGCTGTCTGCAACCATTCAGAAAAAAGAACTTATGGCCTTAACGGGTAGGTCAGTGATCTTGATTCAATGTGCAGCAGCTATAAAAATGTAAATTTCCTACAACATATCCTTAGGACACTAAACTATCCATGTTGTAAATAGGAAAAATTTCAGAAGAAGAAAAGTAGAATGATCAGAGGGCTTAAACATCTTTAGGAGAAAAAAACCAAATAATTGGGCCTTTAGCTTAAAATACAGGCAGTTGAAGAAGTACATAATGTATGGGCTTGATGATTAAAAAGGGTAGAATATGGAAAAAAGGAAGCCATGGAATAAGTGTAAAGAGAGGATAGAGTATACATGCTATAAAGAAAATTGGCAGGTACATCTTTTTTTCTCTTTTTTAAAAATTTCTATTTGTCACTTTTTTTTCTTTTTTTTCTTTTTTCTTTAAATTTGTATTGTTTTTACTTTGCTAAAAACTTATTTTATAAAAATCAATTTAAAAAAGAAGGATAATTGAGTATATAAAAAATTTCTTCCTCTCTCAAAATATTAAGGGCAGAAATTATCTAATAAAGTTTATTGAAAGGAGAATTGGACCGGGGGGGGGGGGAAAAAGTATTATTTTTTTTGCCTTAGGATACTTAACCTATAAAATTCTTTGCCACAAGATGAATCACACTAATTTATATACATTTAAAAGGGGATTGAATAAATTCATTGAAAAAATTATGAACTGTTTTTTTTTCCTTGAAGATTTTGTTATATCTAAGTTGAGTCTCTCTCTCTCCTGACAAACCTAGCAGACAACTTTGTCTCCCAAAAAGTAGAGAAGGGAACTAGGGGATTAGCCATTTTGGATTTAATTCTCACTAACAGAGATGAAATGATAGAAAGTGTTGAAGCCACAGGAACCTTGGGAGGTAGTGATCATGCAATATTGGAATTCAACATTATGGAAGCACAAGCAATAGAACATAGTCAAAGNGTCATCCACGTTAATGCACAAGAATCATAATAAAGTGTCAGATTTGGTACTTTAAGTCCTCCACGTTCTCTGGTATCTTGAATAATCTTAAATTTAACTCTCGCCTTCTTGCCTTCCCAAATAAAACGATTCAAATCTCTTTGCCATTCTTTCAAGTTAAGTTCATTTTTTAAGATAGGTATCATCTGAAATAGAAAAAAAACTTAGGCAAAATGTTCATTTTGATGGCCGCTATACGACCCAGCAAAGAAAGCTGTAGTTTTTTCCACATTGATAAGTCCTTTTGAAAGCTGTGGACTTTCCATTCATTGGAACAACAAAAGCTGACAAAAACACCATACCAAACTCAAACCTCCTCTTCAGCTCACCAAATAAGATCCAAAAATGGTTATTGACCAGGATTAACAATGGGCACACTGTGACTTTCTGAATGCTGCTGACTGTAATTCCCAGAATCAGTAACCAGGGCGGGACAGGATTGCTACAGATGTAGTGCAGCAACATTTGGTGGGGGACAATTTCCCCACCTGAAATATACATGCCCTATGTTGCCATGAACAAAGGAAAAGTCTAGGGATATGCTGAGTTTGTGATACTAATTGGGAAAGCATGAAAGGGAAATTGTTGTGATAATGGGAGAGTTCAGTTACATTTACATAAACTGGGTTCATTCATGTTCAAGCTAGAACAAAACCTCCAGGTTTCTGGATGCCTATATGGCTGTACCTTAGAAAAGATGGTCTTAGAACTGACCAGAAGGGAGATAACTCTAGATTTATTCTTAAGTAATGACCATGGTCTGATATTATGTGTATCCATTATGGAATTGGTTGTAAATATCAGCTAAGTGAGGTAGTTAAGTGAGTTGCACCTCATTTTATGACCTTTTTTGCCACAATTGTTAAGCAAATCACTGCAATTGTTAAGCGAAACATGCGATCATTAAGCAAATCTGCCTTCCCCCATTGACTTTACTTGTGAGAAGCCAGCTGGAAAGATTACAAATGATGATCACATGACTGTCCTAAATACAGGCCAATTGCCAAGCAACCAAATTTTGATCACATGGCCACGAGAAGGCTTCAACAGTCATAAATGTGAAAAACAATCATAAGTCACTTTTTCAGTGCTGTTGTAACTTCAAATGGTTACTAAATGAATGGTTGTAAGTTGAGGATTACCTTTATATAAATGGGGATTTTGGAAAACGCAAAAAGTCATGTGGAAGGAGATGTCCCAGTCAGTATTTGATAGCCAATTTTCAAGAAGCTTTTGACAAAATTATGGAATACTTTTGAGTAAACCTAGTAGAAATAAAATATCAGATACTATCCTATTATGAATTTTAACTTGCTAAACAACAAAAAAGTAGTAGAGTAAAGTAAGAAATAAAGACTTTTAAGGATCTTTGTTATGATGGGAGCTTTTCAATTTATTCATAAATGATCTTAATTTAAGGGAAAATAGTAAGCTAGCCAAGTTTGCAGGTGATACAAAACAATCTATTCTGGGCGATTAAAAACAAAAGTGATTGTGAAGAACTCCAAAAGGAAGTCTTTAAAATGGGCAAGCAAACAACAAATTTAATTCATGTAAGTATAAAGTGATTGTTAGGGCAACTTCTCAGTCCAGGTGCATAATATGTACACTGATGGAACCTAAGCTGTCTGCAACCATTCAGAAAAAAGAACTTATGGCCTTAACGGGTAGGTCAGTGATCTTGATTCAATGTGCAGCAGCTATAAAAATGTAAATTTCCTACAACATATCCTTAGGACACTAAACTATCCATGTTGTAAATAGGAAAAATTTCAGAAGAAGAAAAGTAGAATGATCAGAGGGCTTAAACATCTTTAGGAAAAAAACCAAATAATTGGTCCTTTAGCTTAAAATACAGGCAGTTGAAGAAGTACATAATGTATGGGCTTGATGATTAAAAAGGGTAGAATATGGAAAAAGGAAGCCATGGAATAAGTGTAAAAAGAAGATAGAGTATAAATGCTATAAAGAAGATTGGCAGGTACATCTTTTTTTCTCTTTTTTAAAAATTTCTATTTGTCACTTTTTTTTCTTTTTTTTCTTTTTTCTTTAAATTTGTATTGTTTTTACTTTGCCAAAAACTTATTTTATAAAAATCAATTTAAAAAAGAAGGATAATTGAGTATATAAAAAATTTCTTCCGCTCTCAAAATATTAAGGGCAGAAATTATCTAATAAAGTTTATTGAAAGGAGAATTGGACCGGGGGGAAAAAAAGTTTTTTTTTTTTGCCTTAGGATACTTAACCTATAAAATTCTTTGCCACAAGATGAATCACACTAATTTATATACATTTAAAAGGGGATTGAATAAATTCATTGAAAAAATTATGAACTGTTTTTTTTTTCCTTGAAGATTTTGTTATATCTAAGTTGAGTCTCTCTATATCGGGCATGTCCGACCTGTGGTCCATGGGCCACATGTAGCCCTGGACAGCAGATAGTAGAAAATATTTTTTTTAAAAGGAAGCTTGTTGTTTATAGACATTAACTATATTATATATATTATATGCGGTCCAAGACAATTCTTCTTCACTCAAGTCAAGTCAAAAGGTTGGACAACTGTGCTCTAACTACTAGTTAGAGTAAACAATAACAGGAAAGGGATTTTTCTCCATTTCTTCAGAAGCATCTGGTTGTGAGAAAAAAATAGGATGGATCTCGGCCTGGTTCAGGAGGATTTCTATTATGTTATTAATTATTGGTCAGCTCTCAGAATCCTAGGTAAGGCAAGATGTGTAACTAAATATACTTTTCTCTATTATATTTTGACAGTGTGCAAAAAGGTTTGATGAGCTGAAAAGCAATGGAAGTTCTCCAGTAGATAACCAGTTCAATCCACTAATGGCTAGTGGTTTGAAACCTGTAGAAACACTAGCTGGTTATATTAAATCATCACTTCTTGATGCTCAGGATGAGTTACAAGAACCCTCTTGTGAAAATGATGCAATTTCTTTAAATGGTAGGTTTTAATCACTTCTGCTGTTGTGTTCATAGAATTATGTATGTTATTTTTCTCCTGTTGATATATAATAATAATAATAATAATAATAATAATAATAATAATAATAATAATAATAATAATAATAATAATAGAAAAATATAGTTCAGCTTTTGTCAATAGTTGGTTCACTCATTTTTCAGATTAAATTAGAATGGATTTTTAAAATTAATGTTGGATTTTTTAAACTGTATATCCATTTTCTACTAAACATTTTGTGGCTTTAAAATAAAAAAATTGACTTCTTGCGTAACTACCATTAAAAGTAGCTAAAGTAATTAGTCCTCAAAAGTATATCATATTTCTGTTATGTATTAGACAAAACCATATATATTATTATATGCTAAAGTTATTTTGCTTTATGAAATCTGTGTATGAACCAAGCTGTAATTCTTTATCAGCTTTTTTAAAAAATAGTGCTTTCCGGGAATGTTGCCAATCAATTTATAGTCTATAAACCAAGGAAAGCTGTTTCACATAAACCATATAAGGAACCTATCAAGAATTTAAGGCATATAGGTGTATAATATACAGATAGTCCTCAATTTGGGACTGCAATAGGACTGGAAAATTAATCATTAAACAGTGCAGTTGTTATGTAAGGCATCATGTGATCACACCCAATTTTATTGTTTGCTCAGAAATCACGTGAGACTGACTGGTGATATCTTGCTGGTTTCCCCATTCACTCTGCTTGGCTGACTCTGCTTGTCAGAAGCCGTCTGGGAAGATTGCAAACAATGATCACGTTACTACAAGATGCTGCAACTGTTGTACATGTGAACTAGTTACCAGGTGTCCAGTTCATGATCATGTGACCACAGGAATGCTGCAATGGTTTAAGTGCAAGGAGCAGTCCTAAGTCAGTTTTTCAACACCATTGTAACTTGAAACAGTTGCTAAAGAAATGGTAGTTAAATGACTACTACCTGTAGTACAATGTTTAGAGTTTGAAGACAAGCTTTGAGATGTTCTCAGGGATGGCTGAGAAAAGGCAACTGAAAATGGTACCATTGCTACTCAAGATAGTGCTAGGTGCTCAGAGACCATGTCAAAATACTGTCATTGAATATGGTGATGTATATATCTCATGATGAAGTCTTACACAAATAGCATATGCGTAGGTCTAGAAAAATAAGGCACAACTAAAGAGCAGCATGAGTGAGAGAAAGCTGGTGCAAGTATGAAGGAGACAAACTCGAGCATGTTGTATAAACCACTGTGTGTTATGACAGTAAAAAGTGTGAGAAAAGAAAGATTCTACATAAGAATTATGTGGCAAAATCATTTATTTCCTCCTGAAAACTTGCTGATTTAAGTAAGTGAGAAGGAAAGATTCTGTACGTTAGAATTTACCAGCCAAAACCTGATTACATATCTATTTAGAATATTAACATCTAGACAAATCTGTGATACAAAAACATAGATAAAGAGTTATCCCTCTTGGTATTGGGTGTAGTTCTTTTCAGGGATATGTTTTGTACATAACTTACTAGGAATCTTCAGCGATCCTATCTTACCTACCCTGTCGATAATCAGAGATTTAGTATTATCATTTTTGGGAATTAGAAGCACTATGTTAAATAAGAAAAACGCAGGCACATGACAGTGGATTTTTTTTTTAAAAAAAAAGTTCATTTGTACTTCTTTGTTCATTGGCAAAGAAGGAAGAATTTGATAAGGGCAGAGATAACTGCCACATTACATTAACTATTATGTTATGCCTAGTTCCGAAGTGGTGTGTTTATGTAAGCACTATGAAACAAAGAGGTTTGCACTTACCCTCCCATAAAACATAGTAGACAACATGTACTACATAGTGGCACATAGAGTTATGCTGATTTTCCTTCTCTCTTGCAAGTGCTAATACACTCTGAGATTAAAAAGATTTACTCTTTTCCTTTCTACTTGGGTTGTATTAATTTTTTAAAGAACTTTTCTTCTGCAAATACATTATAAGTATTCATTTAAAAATTAAATAACTATCACATCATCCTTTGACTATGGAACACTGCTTACCACACATGAGAAGTAACACACCTCAACATTATGACCTAATGCTTTTTCTCCCCACTTGTATTTAAGGAAAGTCAAGTATAGCTTCCTCAAGGAATTGCTCTTCAGAAAGTGAGAAATGCCCTGCACTTAAAGGTGGAGAAAATGCTGATGAAACTGAAGGGTAGGAAGATGGCTGTTCCATTTTAAACAGCTAGATTAACCTTAGTCTTTTTGCTGGATAGTTATATACTTGAACTATTTCTCTATATTTTGTGGAATTTCAGAGGGAGGAATTGGGGTTTCTGTGGGAAGCATTACATTGGCTTGCTAAGGGAAAATAACATTCAAAATATGTGTTCCTTGTGAAAAATAAATATGTTCAGATCTAAAAATATTACAGATATTATAGTATCATAGCATATTGAATTAATTTCAGTTTTGAAAATATTCTAGTTCTAGATCCCTTCATTTATAATTTATAATTATAATTCACATAATTATAATGTGTTTTATAGTTCAGTAAAAACAGTATTAGATTATAGCAGCCTGGGAATAAAATTGGAGAAGTAAATGTTTAACCCAGGGTGACAGGAATACTGTTTCTCTGGGTCATCTTGGCAAATGGGATTATGGGATTCCTGTGTGTCATTTTTCAACAAGTGAATTTTGAAAGTATCAGTACCAGCTTTCTCTTTCATCTTTATTCAGTGAATCTTTGAATGTTTGCATACTAAGCTTTCTCTTAAAAACTCAGTTTTCTCAAGGAGTCAATGCACTGTAGTTGCCAACAGATTCATAGCAAGTCTATTTTTCCCTTGCTTGTGTACAGATTTTATCTAAGGGGAAATTTTCAAAACCGGTCTGCAGTATTCAGAAGTTCTATGACAAATTCTCTAGGAAAAAAAATCCTTATCATTGATTGTGATTGTAAAACAGCCTCGGAAACTTTCCCTCTAGTCAAATGAGTTCTGCTAGGAGTGAAAGTTCCAGTGTGTGAGCAACATTCACTGTCTGCCATGTCTTCTTCATTCATTTGCATATAGAAGATGAAACTTTGAGTATCTTTTTTCCTACGCAAAAGTACCTTTTTTTTCTTCTTCTGCTTTCAAAGAAACTTCTGTATATAGGAATTTCTTTAAAAATCATATTGTAATTAGAGTAGATAAACACAATAACTTTACCTACTAGTAGATGTAATTTTATTTATTACATTTTTGTGATTAATAAAGAACTAAAAGAAACAATTTCTTGTGCTTTTTGCCTTCAGAAATCAAAGTATTCAATGGAATCTAATAGAGATTGGGCTAGTTGTTAACACTATTGGATTAGAATTGTGGAAACGTAGATTCAAATCCCCACTCAGCAATAAAGCTCCATGGATGGTTTTGAGACAAACAATATTTTTGTCATAATCAATATTACTGGGCTGTGATGAGAAAAAAATTGGGCTGAAGAAAGAACGATGTATATTCTCTTGAATTTTTGAAGAAAATGTATAGATAGCATAAAAATATGTCCAGTAGTGGAGAAAATTAAAATCCAGGCTACACACCTGGTATTTATTTATTTATTTAATTATTTAATTATTCATTCATTCATTCATTCATTCAATTTGTGTGGCCACCCCTTTCAACAAGTAATTGTGGGTGTTAAAATAAAAAAAGAAAAGAAAAAGAATTACAATAAGAAAAGAATTAAAATACATAGCAGCCAAGAATAAATCAAACATAATTACTAAAATAACCAAGAATCAGGTCCCTGCGCACACTTGGGGTCCTGGCCTGGGCATAGAGCCATATTTTAAGGATCTATGAAAAGTCAGCAAGGTTGGGGCCATTCTGATCTCTGGAGGGAAAATGTAACATAAAGCGGGTTATGACAGAAAAAAAAACCCATCTTCTTGACTTCGCCAACTGGCATTTCTTGAAGCCAATGGGATTCAAGCATGTCCATCCTGCCTGACTTTTCCAAATGTGTTTAAGTTTTGCTCATAACAGGATCTTCGATAGTTCTTAAGAACAGTTCAGTGAACTATTAGTAATGAATGGAATTGAATTTAGATATTTCTGTTTGGGCAAAAGATTTATATGCAAATAACAGGTTTGCATGTACTATCTGCTACTGTATCTTGAGACACACAGACTATAAACAAATTAAGCATGTTCATAAATGTTTCACTTTGCTTAATTTTACTCTGGAGAAATGGAATGAAGCTATATTGGTTTCCCAATAATGATGTATTTTACGCATCTCCATAATTATGGGGAATTCACTCAGCTCATGGTCTACTAAGCCAAATATATTCTAGTATTCAATTATCCTTTTCCTACTTCAGTGTTCCTTAACTTTTTTCATGCATTAAAATGTCATTACAAGTTGAAAATCTATGTTACTGTCTCATGAAAGCATTATTTAAACTATTGTGTACATAAGAACATATATTTCCGTAACAGTAAAATTGTACCTAAATTTAAACATGAACAATAATTTTCACAAATTATTCAAATATTCCAGATAATGAAAATAATATTCCTCCCTATGATTTTTCCCTCTTAAATAAAGGCCAAATATGGTGATCCATGTGTGTGATGAAGCAAAAAATCTGAAGGAAGATTTTGTTTGTCCACGTGATCTATTGATTTCTGAAATGAAGTACTTTGCTGAATATCTATCAATGGATGCCCAACGCTGGGAAGAAGTGGACATTTCAGTTCACTGTGACGTTCACATCTTTAACTGGTTGATAAGATATGTTAAAAGGAACACTAAGGAATATGAGGTTGATGAAATACCCACCTTAGGTAAAAGAAAATATATTCATTTTTGCCACAATTCTTTTGAAAACCTGACTCTTACATCAGACGAAAAGATTGCAAAAAATGGCTTTGAAAGGTCGTTTTCCTTTCCTGTTCTGCTTTTGATGATGAAAGCCTAATCTATACAAACAGGGAAAGCTGAAATAAGATATAAAGTTTAATGGGATTCATGTCTTACAAAATGAGCATAGTACAAGTGCTACACAGCTTAATATGTTAATAGTAGTTAAGAAGTTGGGGATTTCCATTTAACCTCCTTCATTCTCATGCATAAGTTCACCTTTTCCTTTTGAGAAATATTTATGCGCTGTTATTTGGGACTTTGTATACCAAAACTATCCAACCAAATTTGGTATCTGATCCAGAAATATGGTAAGAATTTGATGTGTTCTGGTTTACTCCAATCTAATCTAAATTAGTGCATGGATTTAATGCAAATGTTTAGGGATGAAGTATATCAAAGTTCCTAAAAATCAGTACAGAGCTTTGTAAGTACCCTACTTTAAAGTCTGATTTCTAAAGGTTATTACTTATAACCTTTTTTTAAGACAGCATGTGAAAAACTGATAATGATAGCCTCAATGATGAAAAATATCTCCCCTATTTTAGGAGGAGAGAGAGAAAGTTTATGTGTATATAATATACACATCTCTATATATCTGCTTGTGTGTGCTTATGCGTGTGTGTATTTATGTAAATAGATAAATAGTGGTAGGGAAGGGTAACAAGGGGTCCTTGGTGCGCTCTGAGCTTGATTGTTTCCTTGCAGACATTTCATTACCAAACTAGGTACCATCATCAGTGCTAGTTAGAGGGTGGGGTTTACTCTCTTTTTATATACTACTGGTAGTGGTTTGCCCTGTCAGTGCTGGTAGAAATGGTTTTGGTGGTTCCTTGATTCGGTAGAATGCTCTTGATACTATCAATCAAGATTAATTCCAGGAGCAATTAGTAGAAGATTTAAGTGTACACTCAGCTTTCCCCTCACTGAAATTCATGGTATTAATACATCTATATGATTCTGACTTAATTAAACAATTTTTAGCACTTTAGCATTTTTTTCTTTTTTTAAAAAATGTTGTTCAAGTAGTTATTAGTTCTCACTTATGTTCTGTATAGCACATGTTAAAGTTTATATAGCATAGTAAATGAGGCATATTTATTTAATTGAAACTAGGGGTAGGCAGTAGAAGGGAACATGCCGTCCACAGGCCCCATTTTTACTTGGTTTCCTTGTAACATTGCACTGCAAATTTTGGGGAGCAGCATTCTAACCTTAAAAAAAAGGTTAATATATATTCCAAGCTTAACAACCATTTTGTCAAAAACAAACAAATAGTTCCCACCTTCATTCCTTAAACAGAACAAACAAACATTTTTAGTTCTTCTCCTTTAGATGATCTCACCAAGACACTCCCATGGCTCTCAGAGGCTTTGTCACCACCATAATCATCTGTAAGAGTTCCAGCTACATAAAGATTGTCCATATGCAGTGTAAAACCAGATCTTTCCTTTCGTTTCCTTACCATATAAAGAGGGAAGCACACCTATTTTTAGATCACGAAGGATTTATTTCTGGGGTGGAAAATAATAGACTAAGTTAGCAATGCTAGTGTGAAAATTACGGGTATTTGTGGGAAAATTTGGCTTTCCGTAATATTGCTTTGTTTTTAAATGTGATTTTAATCCAGCTTTATTATCTGATCTAAAATGCAAACATTTTTAAAAACTGAAGTGTGCTTTCATACGGTCTAATTTATAAGGGACTGAAGTTAGATATATCAAAGTTTGAAATTGGTCTTTTCTTCAACTCAGCTTTCAATATTGAGAGCCAATTCCTCTCTGAAAACAGACAATTTTGTCTTCAAACAAAGAGAGATCAATAGCTTGAAACTCAAAATTCCACAACGTGAATGTGTTTGTATAATACATTTAAAATGTCAGGATTTAAACTCTAAATCTTGGTTCGAGATAGTTACTTTCTTTCTTTAGTTTCTTAGCATTGTGGGGCTTGCTTTGTCATAATAATGTGAATTGTAAAACCCTACACTATTATTTCTGGCAGCATGTTAGGATAAAAATTAGTAAGAAGCAAATAATTATTTAGCATTAAATTATTAAGCAATGTAATTATTTAGATATAAATGTAAGTAGAACTGAGAAGTCTAAATAATCCAAGGCCAAGTAATTGATAAAAGGGCCCAAAACAAATCTCCAAACTTTCTCTTATTCCATTTTTATAGAAAGCAGATTTTCTGAAGCAAGACATCTTTTACAATGTTTCCTTTCATTTTTAACTAGTTTCATTTTAATCTACTTGCAATATTTGTAAATCTAATAACTTTTCAATTTGTTATCTTCTTTCTTTTTAGAACCAAGCAATGTCATTTCAATACTTATTTCCTCTGAATTCCTGAAGATGGACTCTTTAGTGAGTATACTCTAGCAATAAGCATTCTGTATCTTTGGTTGTTCTAAATTCATCTAGAATGAGAACATACAGCCCACAGAGCTGATCTGTATGGTCTGACATCCCACTATATTTTTTATTCCATCTTTTAAGTAAATAAATAAAATGCAATAGCTTTGCAAGTGTTTTATCTCTGTAGTATTTGGATGTTATATTCATTTCAGAGATTATGGCCATATACAGTAGATACTGGTTCTCTTTGCTAATAACTACAAATTGCTTATAATTATATTCTTTCTTCATATCTTTTTTTTAAAAAAAAAAACCTTAAATCCTTTTATTCCAAATCAAATAATATTTGGTATTAAAAATGCCTCATGTTGGTTTTTATGGAGAAAAACTATGTGGTTGCTAAGAATCAACACCAGCTTGATGGTATACAATAAATCCAGCTGGCTTAAGCAGGAAGCTTAATTAACATAAAATCTTTCTTGATAAGTTTCTCTGATATTTCCTAAAACAGGAAGTGTAGAAGTTTGTAGAACCTTTAAAAACATCATGATTTGCCTTAATTTCTAAGCTCTTAGAAAATGTAGACTGTATTTTCTAAATATTTGGTAAGCAAAAATAAACAGTATATTCATTCTTTATATGCATATCCCTATCTTGCAATGTTATTATGCTTTACCTACAAATGTATAATTAAAGTTATTGATTAGTTTGAATAAGGTGCTTAAAAACTAGTTTAGATTTGGAGGTGGGACATGTTATCATCCAAAATAATAGCTTCATATCTGTTGAAATACTGTAAAAATACGGCTATATGATGTCCAATTGTATGCAAGTTATCTTCAAAGATTAATTAGTGTAGTACAAAATCTTCTTCAGTGTTAAGAATGACCAAACTTACTGGGATTGCTGGGATTGGAATCGCTCCACCCAGTCCTAGCCTCAGCCTGATCAATCCAACAGGTTCTTCCCCAACTCTACTCCAACCTTAATAGGTAACAGTAAGTATTTGAATCTCTATATGTAAAAGTGTCTGAGTGATTCATTTTTTCCGGTCATTGGCTCGTTCTAATGCTTTTCTTGGAATATGAAAATGCTGTAAGAAATATTTGTATGACTATTCAGTAGTAAGTGAGTTATGTTTATGTTTTTTAGGTAGAAAAATGTATTAATTATTGCCACAAGAATATGAGTACAATTGTAGCTACGCCATGCAATATGAACTGCATTAATGCTAACCTACTAACCCGCATAACTGATCTTTTCACACATAATGAAGTAGAAGAGGTGAAGGACAAGAGAGATAAATTTAAGAGGTACTTTCTGAGCAAAACAAAACCTTACCATTGTCTCCTTTCCTTTTGTATTCATATTATCATTAGTTTGAAAGAAATATTAAATGCACAATTGAGAGCAATATTTAGTTAATTATGATTGAGCTCCCAGAACAAAGTTTGAGCTTGAACAAATCATAAAAATTAGATTAATTAATAAATAAAAAGTTCCTGGCCTTGGATATAGCACAATCACCCAATGGACCAAGCCCAAGGAACTATTAATGTAGTATTACTCTATTCTTCTTTGGACAGATTTCATCCCTAGCCCTCCCAACACCCACACCTTTATTGTGATTAGTTCTGGGCATCACACTTTCATAGGATTCTGAAAAGTTGGAATTGTATGAGACTTTTTCTAAGTCAGTAAAAAGTATCTAAGAAACTAAGCCCTGGAAAGAGGTTTTAGCTTGAAAAAAAGTGACTGAGGAGGATGTTAAATATCTGCAAATATTTGAAAAGATGTTACATAAAATAAGTCAGAACTGTGTAGGAAACTGAACATAAATTTTAGGAAAACAGATTTTGGTCAATGATTGAAAAAACGTTTTATGAATAAGAGCAGTTTGACATTGCAACCAATTACCCAGAGTAGGATGGCTTGGGCAACATTTAACAGATGTCTTTGTCTAGTAAGCAAACTGATAGTGCTTTAGGATTTTTGTTTTTCACTTTCACAACGGCCTTCTTCCTATCATACGCAAACTAACAAAAATTATATCGAGTTCAAATGGTTAGGAATCTATTGAGTTTGTGAATAGCAATCTCCTTACCAAATTGTATTAACTATTGAATGGACTTTCACTGTCAGCTTGTGAATTTTGTTGTGAGGGTAATTTCAAACCCTTTGAATATGGCAGAGTCACTCTTTAGTGCTCAGCTAAGATTCAGAACCATCTGGGCAAATTCCTTGCTCCATCAGAACAGTATGACTTATGTAACTGAGTTCAGATTAGTCTCACTATCAGGAATTAAGAACTGAATACAGGAAAGAGCAAAACACCATGCAAGGAACCAGAATCACTATGCAGACTTAAAAAAAAAATGGCTGCAATATTATAAGCACTTTTCTTTTCTGTTTGTAATGTAACATTTAGTATATGAGTGAAATACTTGGTAACTCATTTTTATGAGTCTTTTTTTTTTGTAACTAATAGCAAACTTTTCTGTAAGAAGATAGAAAGACTGTTTGATCCAAAGTATCAGAATGCAGATTCTAAGGGAAACGCTGCAACCCTTTACAGGTATAGTGCTCTTCACTGATTTGCACTACCTTGCCATGTGTTCCATAGCTCACTGCAGTTTTGTAATGTCATTCTCATATTTTTGTTTTTGTGCAGGTGTTACTTATGTAAGAAACTTCTTATTAAGGATACTGAAAGAAAAATTCCATGTATTCCTGGAAAGATTAATGTGGATCAGTATGGAAATATACTCTATATTCACATAAGGTGCTTCAAAAAGTCATTTTGCAGCAACATTTTTAGTGTTTTTCTCTTGACCTCTTTTAACATAGGCTATAGGAAAGTTTTAGTTTATAAACTACACTCCGTCTATTATTCCAGCTGACAGTTTTAACCAGATGCTGTCTAGGGAACAATGACTAGGGAACAATGACTTTTGAAATATAGATTAATTAACAAAATAATTTAGCAGATCAATGTAATCCCTGTTACTGGCTCAAATATATAATTTACTTTGACTGAAAACAAAAGGTAGACAGGGTCACACTTGGGTTACTATTTGGATGGGAGACAATGAGGAAATGCCAAGGCTTTATTCTAGATTGGGAAGTCAAAACAGTTCCTTGGAAGGAAGCAGTGGTAAGCCACTTCTATATTGTTATCAAATAAATATGGTTATGCCAATGAGGTTGTTAGAATTTAATCTCCATCCAGAGTTTATATTTTTCTCCCTACACTATAGCAATCAACACAAAATAATGATGTTAGCAGGATACAGGTGAGATGTACGAAACATTGCCAGTCATTAAATTAGCACAATAAGAATCACTCAAAGAAAAGATGAAAGAAAAAAAGAATTATGTTTTTTCCAACCTGTGCAACAGTAACCAGTCAGAATTAAAAGCTAATTCTCTAAAACGGCTGCTCATTTTTCTGTATAGAGATAAATCTTGGGACCTCCATGAGTATCTCCTGAGTCTTTTTGAAGAATTAAAATCATGGCGAGATGTATACTGGCGTCTTTGGGGAACTATTAATTGGTTGACCTGTTCAAGGTGTAATCAAGTGAGTATTTTTAGCCCCCTCAAGAGATTTTTAGTTGTCTTAAAATTTATACAGTAGCATTTTTGAAGAAATATATATTTAAGAACAATCCATCAGACAGTCCGGTCTGATTTGCAACCTTTTCTTCTTTTTTAAGCAAAAAAAAAAAAAGAATTCAAGAATGGTAATGGTGATATTATATGTTTGTTGCTTTTGGGTGTCTCTTGCAGACTTTCCTGTGCACTGAGTTTTCACATTGCCAATATCATCCTCAGCCAGTTCTCTATCCTGGTGTAGCAAGTTCACTTGGTTCCACTGGTACCGGAATGTATCCCTGCTGTAACCAAAAAGCTCTTAGGTTTGATCCTGCTCCTATTCCAAAAGTATGTATTTGGAGGAAATCTTTTGAGATCATCCTGCTCCTGCCACAAAGTTTTGAATCAATTTATACCCTTAATCTCATTCCAGCCCCAAGACTTTGTTGCCCTTTTAATGAGCTACTGTAGATTTATTTAAATAAATGCCATCCAAACAATATGCAAATTTGGTTTATGTATTTATTTTACTCTGCTTTTTATTGTTTTACTATGACTTGTAATGAGGCATGATTCACTGAATGGCATTTAAATCACTAGTGTTAATATTTACTTTTATTCAATATGCACAGACCAATGGACCCAATAGAGGAGTATCCTAATGGAGATGATTAAATAAGAGCCAATCCCACCTCCTCCTCACCCCCTCCCTCCCAACTCTGGCTCCTTCCTTCCCCATCTTGTAACTATGGTTTTACTTTGATGGTAGTTTCTTTTTATTGGGTTAGGAGTATTGGGTTAGGAGTATTTGTCTCTGATGATTTTAAAGTTTTTGTGCTGTAAGCTTCCCAGAGTTCAAGAACAGATGGGCAGCAAATGAAATAAACAAATAAATAAATAGAACAGATAGATAGACAGACAAACAGACAGACAGACAGACAAAATGCACAGATACCTAAGTACAGTACAATGCCTATTTTACCACAACAACAAACCTTTGAGGAGAGCTGAGAGGCACCCACTAAGTGGCAGAGGGCGGGAACTAGAACCTGGAACATGGATCTCCACAGATTCTGGGTGCTTTTGTCAAAACAATAAAAGCAGTATCATGTCATCAGTTCTGCATCAGTTGATAAATGTGTGCAATGTAAGAGCACATATACAAAAAGGGGCAGGTTTGCATTATGATGCTGCACTGCTATTTTCAGCATTCTGCCCCCTTTGCCCCTCAACCTCACTATATGTGCATGCCCACACATATACACACACACACACAGAGGCTGAGTTCATTTTCCTCATTTGTAGTCCAACAGGTTAACCACTACATTATACTGGCTGTCCAAAATAACACATGTTATAACCACTGTGCCCAAATCACTTTTGTTTGTAAAGATTGTGTGATTATGTCCATTGTAATTATGTATTATGTAATTCGTCTCATTGGATTTCACTCTCGGTTCTTTTTTAATAAAAGGGATGTAAAGTAAGAGATCATGTGATTGGCTTGCCTCCTGGAGGTGAAGGTGGGGATAATGTGCCCTACCAGACAGCTAAAATACTGAATGATCTGATTCATCACCGAAATATTATTGTTCTGCCCTTTTCAAAAGACCAGAACAGGTAAGAAAATAGGTATATGTTACTATTTATCTGTGTAAAATAATTTCTAGATGTATGCCATCAGTTAAATAATCTCTAGAATCCACAACATTGTTGTGTATAATAAAGCATCATGTTTATTTGCTGATTTCATATTTTAAAAATATGTTCTGTTTTGGGCACTCATCTGCCTGCAAAATTCTGACTAGAATAACATAGCTGTTTCTTTCTTTGAAGCAATTCTGGAATAGGGCTGAATGATGAGAAGGGTTTTGAATGTGATATTTTATTGGAGCCAAATTCATCATGGGGGCCCAAAGCAGGAGAAATAAATACTGTGAGTAATTTTGGTTTTCCCCCCTATATTTAAATTTCCATTTAATTATTTCAACTGAATAAAATAAGTTCAGGGAGGCACTTTTTTTTAAAAGATAGTGTATGGAAATTGTGGCTTTCCAAATGTTGTTGGATTCTATCTCCCATCAAGATTGAGCAATAATCAAGAATGTAGTACTATTTGGACAATTGCAGATAACCTCACTTGTCCTTCAAGAGAAGCACATTGACCCTAGTGTCTTTAGGGGAATGTGTAAATACAATATGTGTGGAAAATTATTTCTGCCAAACCAGTAAATTGGATGCAAGCTTGATGCATAGATGCTTTTCATCTCAGGTTAGCCAAGTTCTTTCCAAGGCAGGAAAGCTGCTGAGATCCAAGTGTTTGGGCTGAAGAAATTGGTTATTGTGCAATACCAAACTGGTTATATATGAATGAGTGCCCCCTGTTCCCTTCCCACACTCTGTCTTCTGCTTTTATTAGTTCCCTTCAAGAAGCTATACCAGGGGTAGGCAACCTTGGCTCTTTTATGACTCGTGGACTTCAACTCCCAGAATTCATGAGCCAGCCATGCTGGCTCAGGAATTCTGGGAGTTGAAGTCCATGAGTCATAAAAGAGCCAAGGTTGCCTACCCCTGAGCTATACTATGTTAGATATAATGAAGGCTTGCTTGAAAATGAAAATAATTCATTAAAGTAGACTATGAAAAGATGAGTGAAGTACAAGGACGCTAAGCACATTCATGAAACATCAAATTTGCAGAAGGCTGAAAAATACTTGTGATCATTGTATGCATAGTGACTCTGTATTATCACGTTGCAGATACGAATGTGGTATTATTTGGTTGATAAAGTAAGAAAAATGTTAGTTTAAATTTTGAAGAATATTACTTCCTTATGTTCTTTATGTCTTGAGATGATTTTGTACCAAAGAACAAAATCCAGCTCAATATGAACTTTCAAATAATAATGTAATGCAGCATATTATGATTTTGAATTTTTTCGAATTAAGTTATTATATCTTAGCATTTCCCAAACTGCTGATGTATACCACTCCTTGGGGGGGGGGGAATGTCTGTACCATTACCATTATTTTGCCTTGTAACAGGAGAACTGCCCTTTGTGCATGCATTAGGTCCCTTTAAAAATGCTAACAGTAGACTTGCCACATTCTCCAACTCTCACATCTCTCCTGGTTTTCTTTTTTTTTTCTTTAGTTCCTTTCTCTGAAAAACTGGACTCTTCAGCTGGTATGTTTATCTTAGTTATTTACATTCCATTATATAAAATTCCTTCATTTTCAATATTCTACATGTTTAATTACTCCTGCTTTCAAGGAAGCCCCCTTGAAACTTAATTTAAACCACTGTCTTCAGCAAATATTAGAATAGAAATATGGTAGATAATTTGTGGAAAACTGCAAGTTTCTGTCTGGAAAGGTTAGAATTAGAATATTATTTGAAAGTTGCTACTTCAGCTTTAAAGCATCTCCTTCCCACCATCCCAAGTGCTCTAGAAGGTGGTTTCTGCAATTTCAATTGCTATAGTGGCTTATACTTGAATGTTTACACTTTTTTGGTCTTGTTCTTCTTTTTCTCTTTCTTTGTTTTTTCTTTTGTGTTTGTATTTATTTATTAAGTTTATATCCTGCCTTTCATTCAGGAGCTCAAGGTGGCAATTTTACATTTTATACATTATAATTTCATTGAATTTTACTAGGGTATCTTTCTCAATTCTGACCTGAGCATTTTGTGGTGCAAATCATGATTTTGCAGCTCAATATTAGCTCCTTCTGTGAAAGAAAATGGTGCCCCACTTAATCCATTATATTTGGACTATTTTGAAACATAATAGAATTTCTAAACATGTTGCTGATTGCTACAACTCTGAGTCGATACACCTGGTTGAGATTTGTAATGCAAGAAGATAGAGGCTTTTTCTTGTTGATATGAGGGCTGTTCTAAAATAGGTGAATGCATAAGTAAATAAATGTTTTGCTAGGCAGGATCTAAAAGAATAAGAAACACAAGTCCTATGAGAATGAATCATGAGCACTTCCATTCATTTTATAGTGCTACCAGTCTTGTTGTCAGGACTCCCAGGAGAGAGAGGGTTACCTTCTCTGTTTCATCTAAATTGACAAACTGCAACAATAGTGCAGCAGACAATCCTCACAATAGTTTCCTGGCATTATGTGACATGCATAGAATAAAAGGGCAATGTTTTTGTTTGAATGCCTGATTATTCTCACCCAAGTTCCAGTGCCATGCAGCTTCCTGAGAGCACTAAACTCAAATTATTAGATACTAACCATCATTTTGACTGGCTATTCCTTGGAGTTTTTGCAGTGTCCCCATTTGGGTTTTGTTAGAATATCCCAACTGTTCCTTGTTTTAGAAATGGTGATGTTCTAAGGTTCTTTGTTGTGTCTCCATTTTTTTAATATATATATATATATATATATATATGTTTTAGTACCAATATAAGAATGTCATGAAGCTCTTTCATTTGACCTACTAATCCTAAAAGTTATATAAGTTGAAGATGTGTCTGGGATTGGTGATGGGAAAATAATTTTTTTTTTTTTCAATATAAAATTTTTATTATTTTTCAAAAAAACAAAAAAAACATCACAAGTATTACACAATATTATATTATATCCCACCCCCCCGGACTTCCCAAACCAAGTCCCAGGCTAATATTCAAATATAGGTAAACAAATATTAATATCTCTAACTCCACAAACTCTATTTATAAACAATCCATCTCCTCCNTGCCAATGAGGTTGTTAGAATTTAATCTCCATCCAGAGTTTATATTTTTCTCCCTACACTATAGCAATCAACACAAAATAATGATGTTAGCAGGATACAGGTGAGATGTACGAAACATTGCCAGTCATTAAATTAGCACAATAAGAATCACTCAAAGAAAAGATGAAAGAAAAAAAGAATTATGTTTTTTCCAACCTGTCCAGCAGTAACCAGTCAGAATTAAAAGCTAATTCTCTAAAACGGCTGCTCATTTTTCTGTATAGAGATAAATCTTGGGATCTCCATGAGTATCTCCTGAGTCTTTTTGAAGAATTAAAATCATGGCGAGATGTATACTGGCGTCTTTGGGGAACTATTAATTGGTTGACCTGTTCAAGGTGTAATCAAGTGAGTATTTTTAGCCCCCTCAAGAGATTTTTAGTTGTCTTAAAATTTATACAGTAGCATTTTTGAAGAAATATATATTTAAGAACAATCCATCAGACAGTCCAGTCTGATTTGCAACCTTTTCTTCTTTTTTAAGCAAAAAAAAAAAGAATTCAAGAATGGTAATGGTGATATTATATGTTTGTTGCTTTTGGGTGTCTCTTGCAGACTTTCCTGTGCACTGAGTTTTCACATTGCCAATATCATCCTCAGCCAGTTCTCTATCCTGGTGTAGCAAGTTCACTTGGTTCCACTGGTACCGGAATGTATCCCTGCTGTAACCAAAAAGCTCTTAGGTTTGATCCTGCTCCTATTCCAAAAGTATGTATTTGGAGGAAATCTTTTGAGATCATCCTGCTCCTGCCACAAAGTTTTGAATCAATTTATACCCTTAATCTCATTCCAGCCCCAAGACTTTGTTGCCCTTTTAATGAGCTACTGTAGATTTATTTAAATAAATGCCATCCAAACAACATGCAAATTTGGTTTATGTATTTATTTTACTCTACTTTTTATTGTTTTACTATGACTTGTAATGAGGCATGATTCACTGAATGGCATTTAAATCACTAGTGTTAATATTTACTTTTATTCAATATGCACAGACCAATGGACCCAATAGAGGAGTATCCTAATGGAGATGATTAAATAAAAGCCAATCCCACCTCCTCCTCACCCCCTCCCTCCCAACTCTGGCTCCTTCCTTCCCCATCTTGTAACTATGGTTTTACTTTGATGGTAGTTTCTTTTTATTGGGTTAGGAGTATTGAGTTAGGAGTATTTGTCTCTGATGATTTTAAAGTTTTTGTGCTGTAAGCTTCCCAGAGTTCAAGAACAGATGGGCAGCAAATGAAATAAACAAATAAATAAATAGCACAGATAGATAGACAGACAAACAGACAGACAGACAGACAAAATGCACAGATACCTAAGTACAGTACAATGCCTATTTTACCACAACAACAAACCTTTGAGGAGAGCTGAGAGGCACCCACTAAGTGGCAGAGGGCGGGAACTAGAACCTGGAACATGGATCTCCACAGATTCTGGGTGCTTTTGTCAAAACAATAAAGGCAGTATCATGTCATCAGTTCTGCATCAGTTGATAAATGTGTGCAATGTAAGAGCACATATACAAAAAGGGGCAGGTTTGCATTATGATGCTGCACTGCTATTTTCAGCATTCTGCCCCCTTTGCCCCTCAACCTCACTGTATGTGCACGCCCACACATATACACACACACACACAGGCTGAGTTCATTTTCCTCATTTGTAGTCCAACAGGTTAACCACTACATTATACTGGCTGTCCAAAATAACACATGTTATAACCACTGTGCCCAAATCACTTTTGTTTGTAAAGATTGTGTGATTGTGTTCATTGTAATTATGTATTATGTAATTCGTCTCATTGGATTTCACTCTCGGTTCTTCTTTAATAAAAGGGATGTAAAGTAAGAGATCATGTGATTGGCTTGCCTCCTGGAGGTGAAGGTGGGGATAATGTGCCCTACCAGACAGCTAAAATACTGAATGATCTGATTCATCACCGAAATATTATTGTTCTGCCCTTTTCAAAAGACCAGAACAGGTAAGAAAATAGGTATATGTTACTATTTATCTGTGTAAAATAATTTCTAGATGTATGCCATCAGTTAAATAATCTCTAGAATCCACAACATTATTGTGTATAATAAAGCATCATGTTTATTTGCTGATTTCATATTTTAAAAATATGTTCTGTTTTGGGCACTCATCTGCCTGCAAAATTCTGACTAGAATAACATAGCTGTTTCTTTCTTTGAAGCAATTCTGGAATAGGGCTGAATGATGAGAAGGGTTTTGAATGTGATATTTTATTGGAGCCAAATTCATCATGGGGGCCCAAAGCAGGAGAAATAAATACTGTGAGTAATTTTGGTTTTCCCCCCTATATTTAAATTTCCATTTAATTATATCACTCTGCTTACGGTATTTCAACTGAGTAAAATAAGTTCAGGGAGGCACTTTTTTTTAAAGATAGTGTATGGAAATTGTGGCTTTCCAAATGTTGTTGGATTCTATCTCCCATCAAGATTGAGCAATAATCAAGAATGTAGTACTATTTGGACAATTGCAGATAACCTCACTTGTCCTTCAAGAGAAGCACATTGACCTTAGTGTCTTTAGGGGAATGTGTAAATACAATATGTGTGGAAAATTATTTCTGCCAAACCAGTAAATTGGATGCAAGCTTGATGCATAGATGCTTTTCATCTCAGGTTAGCCAAGTTCTTTCCAAGGCGGGAAAGCTGCTGAGATCCAAGTGTTTGGGCTGAAGAAATTGGTTATTGTGCAATACCAAAATGGTTATATATGAATGAGTGCCCCCTGTTCCCTTCCCACACTCTGTCTTCTGCTTTTATTAGTTCCCTTCAAGAAGCTATACCAGGGGTAGGCAACCTTGGCTCTTTTATGACTCGTGGACTTCAACTCCCAGAATTCCTGAGCCAGCCATGCTGGCTCAGGAATTCTGGGAGTTGAAGTCCATGAGTCATAAAAGAGCCAAGGTTGCCTACCCCTGAGCTATACTATGTTAGATGTAATGAAGGCTTGCTTGAAAATGAAAATAATTCATTAAAGTAGACTATGAAAAGATGAGTGAAGTACAAGGACACTAAGCACATTCATGAAACATCAAATTTGCAGAAGGTTGAAAAATACTTTGATCATTGTATGCATAGTGACTCTGTATTATCACGTTGCAGATACGATTGTGGTATTATTTGGTTGATAAAGTAAGAAAAATGTTAGTTTGAATTTTGAAGAATATTACTTCCTTATGTTCTTTATGTCTTGAGATGATTTTGTACCAAAGAACAAAATCCAGCTCAATATGAACTTTCAAATAATAATGTAATGCAGCATATTATGATTTTGAATTTTTTCGAATTAAGTTATTATATCTTAGCATTTCCCAAACTGCTGATGTATACCACTCCTTGGGGGGGATGTCTGTACCATTACCATTATTTTGCCTTGTAACAGGAGAATTGCCCTTTGTGCATGCATTAGGTCCCTTTAAAAATGCTAACAGTAGACTTGCCCCATTCTCCAACTCTCACATCTCTCCTGGTTTTCTTTTTTTCTTTCTTTAGTTCCTTTCTCTGAAAAACTGGACTCTTCAGCTGGTATGTTTATCTTAGTTATTTACATTCCATTATATAAAATTCCTTCATTTTCAATATTCTACATGTTTAATTACTCCTGCTTTCAAGGAAGCCCCCTTGAAACTTAATTTAAACCACTGTCTTCAGCAAATATTAGAATAGAAATATGGTAGATAATTTGTGGAAAACTGCAAGTTTCTGGCTGGAAAGGTTAGAATTAGAATATTATTTGAAAGTTGCTACTTCAGCTTTAAAGCATCTCCTTCCCACCATCCCAAGTGCTCTAGAAGGTGGTTTCTGCAATTTCAATTGCTATAGTGGCTTATACTTGAATGTTTACACTTTTTTGGTCTTGTTCTTCTTTTTCTCTTTCTTTGTTTTTTCTTTTGTGTTTGTATTTATTTATTAAGTTTATATCCTGCCTTTCATTCAGGAGCTCAAGGTGGCAATTTTACATTTTATACATTATAATTTCATTGAATTTTACTAGGGTATCTTTCTCAATCCTGACCTGAGCATTTTGTGGTGCAAATCATGATTTTGCAGCTCAATATTAGCTCCTTCTGTGAAAGAAAATGGTGCCCCACTTAATCCATTATATTTGGACTATTTTGAAACATAATAGAATTTCTAAACATGTTGCTGATTGCTACAACTCTGAGTCGATACACCTGGTTGAGATTTGTAATGCAAGAAGATAGACGCTTTTTCTTGTTGATATGAGGGCTGTTCTAAAATAGGTGAATGCATAAGTAAATAAATGTTTTGCTAGGCAGGATCTAAAAGAATAAGAAACACAAGTCCTATGAGAATGAATCATGAGCGCTTCCATTCATTTTATAGTGCTACCAGTCTTGTTGTCAGGACTCCCAGGAGAGAGAGGGTTACCTTCTCTGTTTCATCTAAATTGACAAACTGCAACAATAGTGCAGCAGACAATCCTCACAATAGTTTCCTGGCATTATGTGACATGCATAGAATAAAAGGGCAATGTTTTTGTTTGAATGCCTGATTATTCTCACCCAAGTTCCAGTGCCATGCAGCTTCCTGAGAGCACTAAACTCAAATTATTAGATACTGGCTATTCCTTGGAGTTTTTGCAGTGTCCCCATTTGGGTTTTGTTAGAATATCCCAACTGTTCCTTGTTTTAGAAATGGTGATGTTCTAAGGTTCTTTGTTGTGTCTCCATTTTTTTTAATATATAATATATATATATATATATTTAGTACCAATATAAGAATGTCATGAAGCTCTTTCATTTGACCTACTAATCCTAAAAGTTATATAAGTTGAAGATGTGTCTGGGATTGGTGATGGGAAAATAAATTTATTTTTAATTCAAATAAGAAAGTACTATTAATAAGAAAACCTGCCATTCCTGCCCTATTTAGTGACTTATTTAATGCACTGCAAAGAATCATTTTTTAAATGCTACTTTGCGAACCTCAACTAGTATGGAATGAGACTGCTGGACTATTTATTGTAGTTAGGGGAATAGAGAATATAGCATACATTTTCCGCACTATTTCCATTCCATCATAATCAAGATGGGAAAATTAGAATTTTTAAAATCCAGATTTGGCAGAAAGTGAAATCTAGAACTATGTGAGTAATGCACGTCAAAAATTCCTTAAGGGTCATATAGGGAATAGTTTTCAAAGACATATACCAGATGAAGAAAATTCCATTTTTAAACTAATCAGTTTCTCTTTCTAGTTTGTTGTGTAAATCCTGTTACCTAAAAATCTATTGTTGTTTGGAGATGAGTGGTATCCAACTGAGCCGTAGTGGCACAGTAGTTAGAATGCAGTACTGCAGGCTACTTCTGCTGACTNAAGTGCTATTGTTATTGCTATTAATTTCCTCCCTGTCCCCTGGCTATAATAGAAACAACAATTGCTGCTTTCAGAAGATGATGAATACACAACTGGGTCTGAAGTCACAGAGGATGAAGTAGGTGATGAAGAAGAAGTGTCCAGGAAAACAGGTATTTTTTTCCTGGCTGTGATATTAGATATGATAGCAAATAGGGATATACGAAAGTGAAAAATCTCTTCACAAATCAGTTTACTAGAACTTCTAGAACTTTGATATGTATCCATTATTGTATTAAAAATTAAATTAGAGTATATACGCAAATGGGGGCCAGAGTAACAGAAAACCTCCTGATTCCAGAAATGTCATTGTCTCATTTAAAACCAAAATCGGTGTATTGGTTTTCCCATATGTAGCATTAACTTGGCTACTGTACCCCCCCCAATTAGGTTACTGATACTTGAAAGCTCCACATTAAAAGTTGTGTTCAAACTCCACAACTGTATGTTTTTTTCATTTTGCCTTTATTTAAACAGAATAGAAACAGTGCCATACCAAGGGTAGGACAGTGGGAGTAGTCTCCCCCCCCCCCAGATATAGGCGATAAGGAGGAATATTATCTAAAGCAGGAGTCCGCGGCATGCCAGAAACCGGTCCACGCAAAGCCCCATCCTTGGGATGCAGGCAGTACATGAAACCACGCCCCCTCCGGTCTGCAGAAAGTCCTCTCCACAGAACTGGTCCCTGCTGCTCAAAAGGTTGGGGACCTCTGATCTAAAGACCCAATGCTGCATTGCTTGTGAATTTGGATTACTGCTGCTGGTGCACAATTTGTTCTTTGGTTGATGATAATCTGACAAAGCAACAGAGATGGAGCAGGACAGGCTAATGTGGTTGGATCTTGTGGCAGTTGCTCAGCTCCCTGATCTTTTCTAGGTTTCACATATGTTAGGTAGGAAGAGATTGAATTACAAATAGAATCCTGTCTATCTTGGCTAACATGGTTCTAACTCAAACCTTTTTTGTACACGAAGAATACAAAGAAACAGCATCTCGTTGAAATATTTTTGGAGGAATAATTAAGTACCTTTTCTAATCCAAAGGAGCAATCTCAAAAATATGTGAAGTATTCTTAATATTTGAAGTGGCTGACTCCCTTCTAGGTTTAAAAGAAGCTTGGGATACAGATTTAGGAAAACAAATGAAAAGATAAAGTTGCAAATGCTTAGAAAATCAAGTAGTTTTCTCTCAGTTTCCATGCAAGAGATGTAGTGGAAGATACAACGTGCATGTAACTCCAACAAGACTAGCATAAATGTTTTATAAATATACATCAAGATGTTTCAGGTCTTGCAGTCTGAAGGGAACGGTTTTTCATAGTGATGGGTTTATGAAAAGATGGTGTCTTAATGGAAGGCAGTATTCAAAGAAATTAGAATAAGACCTAAACACTAAATGGACTTTGTTCCAGTGTTGGGATTTATATATATAATCTATATTTATATGTAGATTATAAAATTAAACAGTGATTTCTCAGAGGAATCAATTGCATTTATTTTTTTTGTCATGTTTCTATGACCACCCATCTTGCAAACAATGAGTGGGCAGCATACAACAAAGCATAAAACAAAACATACAAACAAGTATTAATATTATTATTAAAAACTTTAAAATTATAAAAAGCTCCCAAATAAAAAACATAGGCAAAGAGCAGGTGTTAATTACACTGCAGCCATCTCAATATTGAATGTTATATAAGATTATATAATCTATACTAATTTAGTATTATTGTTTTGTATTCTTTGTTCTTGCATTACAGAATCTCTCTGTCTTTCTCTCTGACTTTTGATTCTGATAACAAAAGCCACTTTGTGTAGAAATACAGCTTCATTTTGACTATCCAGAAACACCAAATGTCAATCTGTCCCTATTCAGAATATCACTCTGGAATGCTGTACTTAAAGAAATAAACATACAGATTCCCAACTTAAACATATGTTTTAATAAATTGTTGTGTATTTGAATATAACAAATGAAGAGAGCCTAATATGGTATATGCTGATAATTTGTATACACTATTGAAGTATTTTTAATTAACAGGGAGAAAAGAGAGGCCAAAAAAAAATATCAGAAATCCAAAAAAGCAAGTATCTTCACCTAATATTCAAAAGAAGGAAAAAACATTGGAGAAGGTAAATCTGAAATGCGTAAAATATTATAAAAATGAGGTATGATAGAAAATAACTTTTTGTTATTCACTGAATAGGACTTTCTGTTTGATGGATCTAGAATAAGACTTAAGTCTCAATAATTAAATGAGAAAAACTGGTCATAATGAGGTTAGCTATACCTTCTTTCCATCATTAGTTTTGTTAGTAGATATAAAATCCGACTTCATAACTACTATACAACCTAGGGTTTTTTTTTGTTTCTCTGAGCTTAAAAACATGTATCTCCAGGAAAAATCCTCCATAGTTAGTAGCTTGCACAGTTTAATTAAAGAAAATTTTATCAAAGATTTTTCTTAATATCTATTTTAGTGTATACCTTTTTTCTTTTATCTGACAGCCTAACTCTCGAGACACATCTCCCTTTATGTAAGTATCTGCTAAAATTTAGAGAAAATCCATTAAGGCCAATTCTAGTATTTATTATTTATATAGCTGCCCATCTGAACAAATGGCTCTGGGTGATTGCAAACACATAAATGTGGGCCAGTTGCCAAGTGTCCAAATCACAATCATATGACTCTGGGGACATTCACAACAGCCGCAACCTTGAGGACCAATCATAAGTAATTTTAAACTAAGTAGACCAATCATTAATATTTGTTTTTAATTATGTTTTTAATCTGTAGTTTTTTGGGATTAGCTTTTTATTCTGGTTGTTAGCCGCCCTGAGTCCGCAAGGAGAAGGGCGGGATATAAATTAAATAAATAAATAAATAAATAAATAAGTCTCTATTTCCAATGCCACTGAAAGTTCAAATGGTCAGTGAACAAATAATAGGAAAGCAAGGACTACCTGTACTAATTTGGTTAATATAATATGTCAAGCCATAGTTTTAATTCTGTAGATAAGAGATTTAGTACTTATGCATGTCTTCCTCTCCTCCTATGCCGTTATTTTACTGATGTCTGAACTGGCAAATAGTTTACGGCTATGGTGTGTTCTTGTGGTTTGGAGGAAGAGCAAAAGCCATAGTTTGCTGCTCCAACTGTTGTATTTAGTTTTCATAAGTGACATACACATATATCGATTTTAGCAACTTTCCAGCTGGATTGCTGTAATATATCTACATCAGGATTCCCTTGAAGAGCATCTGGAATCTGAAGTTGAAGTTGCTAAAATCGGAGGTATCATGGTCAGGGCTTCCTGGTACAGGAATTTGCATTGCTGACACACAAGATGACCCTATGCACAGGCCAGCCACTCCACAGCTGCCATATATTCTTTAAGCAGAAGCTACTCTTCAACAAGAACCTCCAAGTTGCATACCAATTCTGGGGACGTGCAGAGATAAAGATAAATAACTTTATTGGCCTGGGCCCTGGGGAACAGATATATATTTAAACATCATCAGCATACTGGTCATGCCTTGCCCTGTGTCAACAGATGACTTCTTTAGAGGTTACAGAGAAGCACAGAGTGCTTAGAACTCTGGGAAGTTGTACAAAGCAGGGCCACAGGCTTGATCTCTCCCCATTAATTGTCTATGGAGATTTTCAGTGATCCAGGTCATGGTTGTCCCAAAGGTACTTTTCAGAAGGCAACTGGACTTTTCTTTGTTTTTTGTTTGAAGACGTTTTTCTTCTTCAGTTCTGAATGAAGAAGCTTCTTGGATGAGAAGAGAAATGTTTTCAAGCAAAAACACCTTTGGGACTCCTCACTAATTAATATCAACTGGAATCAGGACTAGAGGAAAGAGAACTACTGTAGCACTGTGCCTCCCACTCCTAATCTTCTGAGCTAGTTCAAAAAGATGCCATGATCAATGGTATTAGAACTTGCTGAGAGCTCAAGGAAGGGCAGGGGGTGGGGTGCTACCCACCAAAGGTCATAGGCAAGTGTAAGCAGTGCTATTTTAATGCTGTAGCCAGTTCTGAAGCCCATGAAAGGATCCTAATTATCCGTTTCCTCTGGAACTGCAAACCAACCATCTACTTCACAACCCACCCTAAAATTAACCAGTTCCTCTGAGTTCTGCAATGGCAGATAATTGTCCCTTTCAAAACAGACCAACAGTGTCCTGAATTATTCTAGAAAAAATATGATTGATTGATTGCTTCTATGTTCTTTTTCATGGCTTATCTGCTCTTTCATTAGAATGAGTATGCAGCAGAGTAAGTGGGATCCTTCTAGATCACTAAGATTCAATCAAGATGCTCAAAGGGAAGAAGGTAAGGCGTACCTGCTTAGCTTGTGTGATTTGAATAGATAAAATAATGCTAGTATTATTGCATAAATGTGTAAATGTCCAAGATTCTGTGAGGTAGGAATTAAATCTTTCTGCTTAATGTCCAGGAAACGAGTGAATACTCCTGGAAGATGTGGATAATCTGCAGCCCTGGGCTATATGCATTTTCTAAAGTCTTGAGGATTGAGCTCAGAAACTCTCCAAACTTAATTTTTAATGTGACAGATAGAAAAATTATTTAAAAATTATCTAATTTTAATTTGTGCAATCTTAATTTATTTTAGTTTACAACAAACACACTTTAATCTAAACCTTGAGGTATATTCTTTGTCTTTTCTTTCAATATTTAAAAAAAATGAAACTCCAATTTATGAAGAAAGTTTTCCTTCTTGCCTTACGTTTAATTTGTTTAATAGAATAGCTAAAGCAAAACTTAGTGGAAGCTCATTTGCCACAGTTAATCCAAGTTATTAACTGTTTTTTCTTGGGAGAAATTCATAACAGCAGATCTAAATCATTCTGGTCCCTCATCCTAATTCTTTATGAGCAAATTCTTAACCTGGATCTACAAAGAGATGGGTGGAACAGTCCTCATTACTCTAATGGTGGGTTCAGTTACCCTAACTACTTTAATAAAAACTTCTTGTCTCTTATAGTAAAGATTTCTCTCTGACTAGACTTCATAGTCTGCCATCCAGGACAAGATTGCCCATGTTCCTGTTGATTTGGGCCATTGAAACCATGTACACATGTATAAAGCCAGAATTATGAATTAATAATACCTTTTCTAGCCCATTGTTTAGATTGTTCAGAAAAGGTGAATGGATTGATCTCTAGAGACATATAATAGGTTTACCAATTTTTGTGACTATAATTGCTAAAAAGGGTTATGGGTTTAATATTAATATTTATTTTTTATTTAAATATTTCTAGATGTGGTTATTCACTTAATTACTTGGCTTTTATTACATGTTATTTTAATTTTCCTGTTTTCGTTAGGTTTGATCTTTGACCAGAAGAGTGAAAAGGTTGTAGAGAGACTGACTCTTCTATTTCTCTTCTATGGTTTTTTTTTTTCAGATCAGCGGCGAATGATTGAGATAACAGGACATCTAATAAAAATGAGGTTGGGGGATCTTGATCGCCTAAAATCAAAAGAAAACAAAGAAGTGAGTTTTTTTGCTGTTCTAATTTAATATCACTGATGTATTTTGGCTATGTATTCGGTTTTCTTTCTTTAAATTATTATTTGTTGCCTTTTTGTAATCCAGTAATCCCTCCATTGAATGCTGGGTATAGTAATGATTCCTAAAAATAATAGCAGTATCTTCTTGTCCCCTACTTGGTTTTCCTAGCCATGAACTGCCTGATGCTTTTGGTCTAGTCCTTTTCTTGTCTCCCTCTCTAGTTGGTGATGGTGTCACATTGCCATATTGGATGTGATTAGGTCTTTCCGTCACATTAAAACAAATCACCATTTCCTATACACAACTAGGTTGTCCTTTGCTCCTCCTCTTAAGTAACATCTCTGGATTTTATCCTATTTTACTTTCTATGGAGGTGTTCAATCATCCAGGTCATGGTTGTCCCAAAGTTGCTTTGAACCGAAAAAGCTTCTTGAGTGAGAAGCAAAACATTTTCAAGGAAAAAAAGCCATGAAAGTCCAGTTGCCTTTTGGCAACACCTTCATGGCTGTTTGCAGGTGGATAAAATGGATTCATCTAACAATCACCAGTTTACTTAACAACCAACACTTTCACTTGACAACTGCCCCAAAAAAGGTTGTAAATATCAGGCAGAGTTATGTAGTGAACCATTTAACCATTTCGAGGCTCAATTACGATTGTAAGTCGAGGACTACCTGTATTGATTTCTTCTCATTGTTTAGTAAATCTGGGTATTATTACAATATGATCACAGTTCAGCTTTTAACTTGTCTCTCCTTGGGACAAAAAAAAAACATTTAGCAAAGGCTATCCATCTCCTATTATGTATAGTAAGAAATCAAGCACTAATCTGTAAATCATGTGATTATTTGACTTCTGTCCTTTCAGTCTGCAGCTGGAATTTATGCAAGACTTGAAGCTCAGATCAGAGCAGCAGCACAAGTCAATATTCGTCAGAATATTCCTGAAAAAATTATAAGGTAAATATTAAGTAAATAGGAGAAGGAGAGTGAAGAGGAATATTATAATTGATATATAAAGATTTATAGAAGAGTAGCCAGAGCAACTACAATTTTCATTCTCCTCAGAAACTAGTTTACAGCTCCAATTATTGGATTCAATGTGGTAATTTTACTTTATATTTACCTTTTTTTTTTTTGCATTGATTCAGCCTGCATCTAATTACTAATTGGGCAAATGTTTGTGAAATAAGTTTAAGTCTCATAACATATTCCACTGAAAAATGAGAGATCATATTTGATGGTTTCTAGTTTGGTAGTCCAATGTTCAGGTACCGTATAGCTAAAGCAGCAAATAACCTGTAGTAATCGATGAATTGTTACTGTTAACTTCTGTTGCAATTTTTCCAATGTATTTCTGTCAATTTAGGACAAAAGCTCGGTTTGGTCAAAGCCGTCCAACTTAAAAACAAAACCCAGAGATTTTCTGTGCTGAAGCCAAAGCTGTCATGGTTCCGACAGATGAAACTCTGCTAACATCGGATGTTTTGCATTGACAAAAGCACTTTTCTGCCTTCTGCAACTGCACAGGATTCCAGAATCTGGGCATGCTTCTTCCGAAAGATTTCAGTGACTGACATTACCGTCTGCCATGTTAATTATTCTGTTTTAATGAATTAATACCAAATTTACATCTGTAGTAAGTTGTAAATACACCATTTTCTCTTAAGCAATGGTGCATTTATAAGCCTGCAAAACAAATGTAAAACCCTTATTTGAATGAGGGTGGAAAAAGTGGTGCTAATGAAATTAAGAATTTCATATTTTGCTATCAATTTTTAGTAATGGTCAAATCTGGCCCTTTTATATATTTAGTGCTTTATCTGGCAACAATATTAACTTTTAATGATTTAGTTGTGTAAAAATAAGACGGAAATGCCTGTTAAAAATCTTGATCTTATTCCTGTTCTGCCAGTAAGTTTTCCTCTCTACAGTGTTATCTCTCAGTGAGACAGAATGCATGTTAATAGATGCTTCCTCACCAAACTTCCTTTCTTCAATACTTAAATAAAAAATACAGTTAAGAGAAAAAATAACTCCACAGTATTTTATGGGTACAGACAACCCCACAGTCTTTTTCTGCACTGATGTGCCAAATATGACAAATGGTAAGGGTAAAGTTCATGCTTGTAACTATATAAGGCTTTTCATAACTGACTTGTGTCTACATCTCTTTGCAAAATTAATCTTTGTGTAGAAAGATTTGTATATGTAGGCTTCAAGTTATCACCCTGCTCCTTGATATCAAACTGAAAAACAGAAATCATCCATCTGTTAAATGTAATAACACCTTGTGGCAGAAATGGATGCTATGAAATGCTGTAAACATAGAACAAATTGTGAAGAGACTAAAGAGCTGGAATATGCAGTCCTAGCTCAGCATTTCTCTTCTGCCACCATCTACTGCAAAGAATATTGTGCAGAAGCGCCTGCAGGATTCTTTGTTGATTTGATCAATCAAAATTTTGCAGCTACCTTTTCCCATCTACAAGTAGTCCTCACTTACTGTTTCATTTGGCAAATGTCTGAAGTTAGCACTGTGTAAAAAAAACTTTGCAACCAATTCTCACATTTAAGACTTTTCAGCATCCCATGTAATGTAATTGCCATTTGGTTGCTTCACATTTACAAATGTTGCAGCATTATGTGGTCACATGATTACCATTTGCTTGCTTCCCAATCTGCTTGCATCAAGCAGAGTTAATGGAGAATGCGGAAGCAAAATCACAAGTCGCATCCACATGATATTTTGCTTAATGATCACAGTGACTCACTTAATGACCAAATGGGAAGTGATGTCATAAGTCCATCATGGTAACATGTTTTTCCACTTAGGAGCTGTGGCAATTAGCAACAGAATTGCCAGTTCTAAGTGCGGTTGCTAAGGTTTACATTTACTTGAACAATTTAGGCAATGATATGAAAAGAGGGAGATAGAATTTTTTTGAGATTAATTTTTTTAAAGGATTTTGTTTAAAAATATTGTAATTTTGTTTTGAGCCCATAAGAATTTACTTTTTTCTTTCTAAAATCAAAACAGAAAGTGCATTTCAACATGCCCCTTGCAGCTATGTTGTCTATCCTATGAGGAAAGTAGTTTTGTATTATGAACTATATGGAAACAATTGTGATTTTGCAAAATCCAGAAAATATGAATAGTATTATATAAAACTAGAAAGAAAAAAAATCAGCAGACAACATATTTATATAGACAACTACATTTTTTATTTGTGCATTGAGACAAATAGTCCACATTTGGTCTTCATACTTGGGCATTATATTAAATGCTGAAGATAATAGAGGATAAGCCTGAAACTTGTAGGGAATGAGTAGATAGCCACATTATTTGTTTGGGAGTTTTCAAAAAGGTTCCATGAAAATTAGCATTCAGAAACTTCCTTTGGTAGGACAGTGTAATATTGAAGAGGTAATAGACAATGAAGATCTTATTTCTGAAACATATACAAAATGAACTCTTAAACTTTAATGCATTTCAGCAAAAGCAAATCCAAAGTAAATATTGATAATTTCTCAAAGTTAACCCCATAAAGTAATAATGTGTTTTTATGCTGTATTGTATGTCAAAATCCATCACAATATTTGTGTTTTTACTTAGATATTTTTCATAGCAAAACTCACAAGTATCATTAGGCATTTACACAAATATTCATTATCAAATTCACTTGAATTCTTGTTGCACTGAAATAATGTATTTACACAAATGTTGTGTCCTAAAGATCTGTACAATCATTATGGCAGTTGATACAGATCTAGTTAGGGAAATATTTAGGACCTAGCAGAGGTATTTCAGATGAAGCCTTTAATTATTTTATGTGACATTTCTAAGACGTGTGTATAAGTGAGTTTATCACATACTTAAAACTATATAGAAATGGGATAGAGATGGTGCTATAACCGTATAAATGTGCTGGATCTCACTTCAGGTACCTCACAATATGCTAATCTAATTGATTTTTTTTAAAAAGCCTGGATGATAGGAAACACTTTTTCTCACGCTATGGCTTGTTAGCAGTATCCCAAGAATATATGAAAAACTAGATGGAGGTTTTGTTAAAGCAAACTACACCCATGGCATTGAAAACAATAAAAGTCAAGATCACAGCCTAATATGTTTTCTGCTTCTGAATCGCTACAGTAAAAGAGAAGTGTTTAGTATTAAAAATGGTAAGGATCTCCACCAAATTTAAACAGGAAAAAACAAGACCTGCTTAGAATTGCAGATGCTCCTCTACTTAGAAATGCAATGAAGATTAAATAATCTCTAGATTCCACCATCAAAGAATTTCTTGTGGGGGCCACTTAGTTCTTTTCCCCTGTTTAAGATATCCAGAGAAATATTGCACCAAAGGCAGATTAGTTAACTTCTAATCTGAATAACTTCTCTGTCCTATATTAAAACAATCTTTGTAATCCATCCCTCAAGTTGCTTAGTCCTGTAAATAGAGAAGTGCTTTCATGTTGGCATTATGTAATTTCTAATTTACAAATGCAAATCATCTAAGACCTGCTATCACTATTAGTATACAGATGAGGCAATTGTATATGATCTACCCATGCTTTGTGAAATGAGACAAATGCATGATTGGTATTTGTGTGTGCATGCCCACACTGTCCCTCATCTGGGACCACTCCTCCTTCCACAATTTAAAAGTTTGAATTTTTAGGTGCCTATACTATAATGAGAGAGAGTGCGATGGCTCAGTGATTAAAGACACTGAGCTTATCAGCTGAAGAGCTAACAACCCGGGTTCAAGATCTGAGCTCTGTGCAATGGGGTGAGCTCCCATTACTTACCCCAACTCCTGCAAATGCAAGTAGATTAATAGGTACCACTTTGGTGGGAAGGTAACAGTGTTCTGTGTGCCTTTGGCATATAGCCAGGCTGGCCACATGACCATGGAAATAGTCTTTGGACAATGCTGGCTCTCTCAGCCAAGAAACAAGAGATGAGCATCAAGCCCTAGAATCGGACTGAGAGGAAATCTTTACTTTTTACTACATTGAGATGAGTGGTATGATGTATGTTTACATACACAAATGGAGTGATCTCGGACCTTTAGGGGAGGTATGGTGAACTGAAGATGTCTCTGTGAAAGTGGAGTTGACAACTGTGACAAAGACCATGGAAGTAGCCTGGTTCCTCAGAATCTCTCTGAACAAGAAGGAGGGAAATGGAATTCAAAAATGTGAAAAAGAATAAATTAATAAAGAAGAGGGTGGGAAATTGTCTATATGCACTCTGGACAGGACAATACTTTTCTGAAGGTTTCAGCACCAGGAGATGAAGGGATCAGCCATCTTATCATAATTGGCAGAACCTTTTAAAGAACATTAAGTTCTAAGCTTTTGTAGATCTCAATTTCTAATCACTTTCAGAAATTGCCTGTTAGCCATCTTAAAGCTGCTAGAGGTTTTCAGAATGACAAATACAAGCCTATTCCTGATGTTGGTTAATACTGGAATTTACAGAAATAAAACAAAACAATATAACATCAGATATCTGAAGAATGGAGCTAGCAATTAGTAACTACAATATCAACATTATCAGTAATGATCCTACTTCTATGCATAGTCTATGTCCAAAAGATGTTTAAAAAGGAATAATAAATGTGGAATAAATTTTATGTGAAAGACAGAGAAAGCACTGAAAGTGGAACTACAAATGGCAGACCAAGTGAATGACTGAATCAAGGACACTTTACATGGTATACCAAAGAAAATAGCAGAACGTTTATTATTTATTTATTTGTAAAATTTATAGGCCATTCATCTTACCTCGAGGTAACTCTGGGAGGCTTATTTTTTAAAAAAGAGAGAAATAAAAATGATAAACCTAAAGAATGATCTGCAAAAATATTTTCTTATTGGATCCACAAAGGAGACTTGCCTTCAATAAACCTGTGCAATGGGATGAAGAATTGAAGAAAACTCAAATCCTACAAAAATATTTGATTGAATTAAAGATTAAAACTGAGAAAGGTAAAAGGGAGGAATATAAAGTTGGTTCAATTGAGCCAGGTTAAAATAAGACATTTGGGGGAAGGAGTTCTGGCAATCCTTTATGGATTTTTTGCTAAAACCATAATTTAAAACTTTTATGAATTTGTTTATATATAAAGAATGGGAAATGGGATGAAGATATATCATTTTGTAGTCTTATGGAGAGTGAAGAGTTACTAAACGTTTCTATACTTGTGATGAAGGTTGGAAGTCAGTTTTTAATATATTACTTTTTCTTCTTTCATTTTCCTTTTTCTTGCACTTTTTATTTTTCTATTTTCTTTATTTTGTATTAATGTTTACTATTGTAATAAAAATTCTTAATAAAATTATATTAAAAAATAAATGAAGTGATCTCAACATAGTTGTCAATGTACAGTATTTTATCTGGTTTTTATTCTCATTTTTATTTGGCCCAATTGCAAAGTGGAATTAATTTAAGCTTGAGGTCTTTTTATAAGAGTCATTTTAATCACCTTGTTACAAGAAAAGCTATTTTTTTTTAAAAAAAAATATTTCTATATATCAACTTAAGTATACTTTTAAAGTATGTGTGAGCATCTGTTGAAAATACTTTTAAAATAGTTACATCTTTTCCTGCACTTGTGTGGCTTCCTCCCTACCTGACACACAGTTGCAGAAAAACACACATGGTTAGAGGTGTTCATGACAGGTGCTACATGTATGCCCTAAATCAGCGGTTCTCAACCTGTGGGTCACGACCCTTTTGGGGGTCGAACGATGCTTTCACAGGGGTCGCCTAAGACCATCGGAAAACACATATTTCCGATGGTCTTAGGAACCGAGACACTAGTGAGAATTTCTGCTCAAGGCTAGCTCCGCCAGCCAGCTCGGGCAGACAGGAAAGCAGCCGCCTCAGCAGCATGGTGGGGCTGCGCTACCCATCGCAGAGCAGCTACTGCCGTGTCGCCACAGCTATGAACCTCCTGCTCGGCGTCTTTCAGGTCCTCTTGCCTGGCTTCCGTTTGGGAGAAG